TTTTTCCTAAATACCTATAGTACGAGTCTTCAACAGATTTCTCATATCCTCTAGAAAATAATTCTCTGAGCTCTGGCATGGGCAGTTGAAAGAGGGAATAGCCTGAGTAACTCAAGTTTTTTGTGCTCAGTTCTTCAGTTATTTGTGTTCCTATTTGATAGATAATGCACAGCTCCTCTTCAGTGTGTTGACTGACCTTGAAGCATCATGAAGGGCTTGCTGGAAAGACTTTATATCAGACTGTGGCTGCCTCTGTTATTACATTCCATTAATCCACCTATTCCTTAAAATTTCGGATTTGCCGATCTCAGGCTTCCCTATTTTCAAATACTGTTATGGTTTCATTATATATGTATGAAAATATAGGCACATTTATTTGTGCAAGGATGTGTATGTGTAAATGTCTGTGTCTATATAAATATATTTCTGCCATTTCAATGAGACTTCTGGAGAGATGGGACATAGAACGCTTTCAGTCTGTCATTTTGAAAATAAAGCTTCCCAAATTTATTTCAGTTCATCTCAAAGAATAGGCGCAGGATATATCAAATAACTGTATATTTGTTTCTATATATTTTATTTATTGCTTGCTTGATTGATTGATTAAGATTAGCCCTGAGCTAACATCTGCTGCCAATCCTCCTCTTTTTCTGAGGACAACTGGCCCTGAGCTAACATCCGTGCCCATCTTCCTCTACTTTGTATGTGGGACGCCTACCACAGCATGGCTTGCCAAGTGGTGCCATGTCCGCACCCAGGATCTGAACCAGCGAACCCTGGGTCGCCAAATTGGAACGTGCGAACTTAACGACTGTGTCACCAGGCCAGCCCCCCTATAGTTTATAGCTGAAAATAATTATCAATCTACTCAGTTTTACAATAAGGATAATGTATCAAAGGTTGTTGTAAAGATTAAATGAGTTGGTATATTAGTGCATGGAATAAGGTAAGTGAATATAAATGCTTGCTATTACTGTTATTAATATTGATCTAAGATGTATGTTATTCTTACCCAGAAATTATGAAATTTTCATTATTATTGTATATGCATAAGTATTTTTTTAAGAAAGAGGTTGTATTAATAAGTAGAGACCATTTATTGTGTCTATAGTCTTCATTGTCTATGCTGAACTGTACAGTATGGCAGCCATTAGCTACTTATGCCTATTTAAATATACAGCTAAGTTAATTAAAATTAAATGAAATTAAAAGCTCAGTTTTTGGTCAGAGTAACCACATTTTAAGTACTCAATGACCAATCAATACTGGATAGCACAGTTACAGAACACTTCCATCATTTCAGAAAGATCTATTGATTGGCAGTGGTCTATAGTCATCACTGATCTAGTGAAGTCAATTACTTCCTTGACAAAATATGACGTTAGTTTAGGAGTGTATGAGAACAAACAATGTAATTTTCAGTTTCAAAAATTTGTTTTGCTGTCACATCATAAGACAGTAAAAAACTAAAATCATATATACTTAGGTCTTCTTCAGGCATACATATATTTTCTCTATTGATTAATTCAGTTTCACATATGAAGGATGAAGGAAATTGCATTGTCATTTCTTTGCCAATTAAATTGCAGGATTATAAACATATTGGAAATTTAATTGGATTTGTTCATTTCTATATATCATAAAATTAGCATTTGATTAAACATTTAATAAATAAAGATAAGTATACCTATTATTGATTAAACATTTAATAAATAAAGATAAGTATACCTATTACTGTAAAATAAAATCTTTCTGAAGGAAAATCATTCATTGAAAACTACTGGATACAGGAATTCCCTAGCAGTTTCTCTGAGAAAAGATGCTGCATGAAAGCATATGGTATGGATCATATTAGGTACACCCTAACTGGTAAAAAGCAAATAAAGATAAGTATCATCAACCTAGCAAAATGTGTCAATATTGCACTATTAGACATGGTAGTATGAGGAAAGGACAGCTGAAATATGAAATCTGCATAACTTGGTGATCCCAAAATAAAAGGTTAGTTTAAGTAATTTGAGTAAAGGGTCCATATACAGTAAGAGGGTTAAGAAATTATGTGAAAGAAATAACAGTTATTTTTGGCAGGAAATTAAGTGAAATGTTAAAAAAAATTCAAGGTTTACCTTGAAATCAAATAAAATATATTGCTTGGTACAAACATATAATTGTAGAAAAAGTTCTATTATTTTAACATTTTTCCAGTACTCTACATTTTATATATGTAAAATATTAACTTATTTAATATAATACTTAAAAGACAACTACGTTGTTAAAAAGAGACAATGTTTACCAGAATTAATTTCCTGTTTTAGCCCAAGTTTCTTTACTTTAAATCACATTTTCCAGTTAATTATCTACAAATAAAATTTACCTAAGAACAGCTAATTGTTGATAGCATTGTACTTTATTTTTCTGCTTTTGTTAACAATTTTTATTTTGGAAGTTATTAAACAGAAGAAAAAAGAAAGAATAGTACAGTGAACAATCTTATATACACTCTCTCTCTCCAAAAATTGGCACTGTTTTGTGTACTTAAAAATAATTTACAAACATTCCTTTAATATCCTGCCTTTATTGAAATTTCTAGGATTGTCCCAAAATGTTATTTTGGAGGTTTTTAAAAAAAATCAGAATCACTGCACTTCCATCCCCTGCATTTCCAAGATACTAGGATTTTTATTCCCGGGCCGATGGGACTAGAACTAACAGAGGGTCGGCTTGCATATCTTGGTTATGAGTTACTTTTTCAATTGGTGCCTGAGGATATTTCTTTCCTGAGAACCAGGCACATAGGTATTCATATACATAATCCATCATTTCTACGTGTCGGTAGCAGGGACGTGAGACACAGGGAGGGGTTGTCACCTCATTCTGACCTGAATGTTTTTCATAAAATGTTTTATCAATCTCTGTTCTCAATTAAAGCTGTATATTCTATAATGATATAATTCCTCATAAAATGTCTTGAGTAGGAACCTCTTGGTCGATTAAAAAGATGGAGGTTGATATCATCTTTCTTCTCCAGTGCTGCTTCTTTTCCATCTCTCTTTCATTGTAATTAAATCCATTCTCCCATTGTGACTCATGTTATTCAGCTATGCCATTCTCTTTCCTCCTAGCCAGTATGATCTCTCCTGACCTCCATATCGCTCCAGCACAATGCACTCGAGTTGACTACTTTATTCCAATCATCACAACTAGAACAACTTTAATATGAAAATGGAACAATACTCGCATCTCCACCCACAACCTCCAACATTTTCTGTTCTCTGTCTTCTTTACTCTTACTTCAAATGCAAGTTGACGTTATCAATATTTTTATTGAAATATAATTGACAGATAACATAGTGTAAGTTTAAGATGTACATGTTGATTTGATCTATTTATATATTGCAATATGATTGCCACTGTAGTGTTAGCTACTACCTTCATCATGTCACATAATTATCATTTCTTTTTGTGTTTAGAGTATTTAAGATCTAGTCTCTTAGCAATTTCCAAGTATATAATACAGTATTGTTAACCATAATCACAATGCTGTGCATCAGATCCCAGAATTTATTCATCTTCTAACTGGAAGTTTGTACCCTTTGACCAACATATCCTCTTTTCCCCTGCCCTCTAGCCCTTGGTAACCACCATTCTATTCTCTGTTTCTATGAGTGGAGGTATTTTTAGATTCCATGTATAAGTGACATCACATTGTATTGGTCTTTCTCTGCCTGACTTATCTCACTTAGCATACTGCCCTCAAAATGGATTCATGTCTTCTCTCTCACTATCAAACTATCCCTGTTTTTCACTTCTTTCTCTTTTATTCATATGTTCATCATACATTTTATTCCCTTTTGCTGCCTTTTCCTTCTATTTTAGCAGTTCCTTAACCTAACACCAGAGAGCAATAGTGCCATCTACAATGTCTATTCATATTTTCAGGCTGCAGAGCACAACTATAGACAATCACAGACCCACAGATTGGCACCACTATACCTTTATCCACTCAACTGGATTAAAGTCACCAGGCAATTCTAATTGTCCCTGATATAAACAAATTAAAAACAAACAAAACAAAACCCACCAAAGAAACAGCCAAAAAAATAAAAGCAAAAGAAAACTTTTTCATTCCTCATGGCAACTATTCAATCATTTATCTATTGACTATTAACTATGCAATTCTCAGACTCTATTCATACTTGTTGAATTTTAGTAGAGAACTGTGCTTTGACTTCACAGAGAGAAAGAGATACCTTTTGAGTGAACTTGTTTCTCCAGCTTACAATTGTAGCTATCCAGCCTTTAGAGAGTTCTCTTCTCTCACAGACCACTCTATTCCTTGTCTCTTATTCCTTGGTATCCTTAAACCTGCCTTCTCTGATGCCTCTCATATAGCCCATAAACTCGTTCTCAACTTGGGTTTTCCCCTCAGTTATTCAAAGAATATTTATTAGAGACCAACTCCAAGCCAGGCTCCCTATAATTATAGGGTCTTGGTGTTCAGTGTTGTACAGAGCCAAACTTTCTACTTCTATAGGACATGTCAAAGTAGTAAACACACTCACACAGACACACACCAACACACAAGAAAATATGAGAAACTTGTCATTTACCAATTCTTCCTCTATCCACAATTCTGAGAAGTTTCTAGGAGACCTTATATGCATTATTAATTATTAAATGTTCATTTTTTGATAACATAGAAATGGCCCTGGGAAGATTGTAAAATACCGATAAGTGTATCAGTTATTAACAATTTAGTGTACAATATTTTTAGTAAAGGTTTTTACAATAAAGAATACAATTTTGGAAAAGTTTCCACAGGATGTTTCATTAGAGGTAAGTTCTGATGGTCATTCTTGATTAGGAAAAACCCCATTGCCACACACCTTGCTCAGTCTAGGCCTGGTTGCTGCAAGTACCATGAATAATTGTGCAGAAAGAGTGAACAAGGGAGAAATGGGAACCATATGGCTGGTGGTGATAGACTTTTTATTTTACAGATTTTCCCAGGACAACCTTAACCCCGAGTGGATTTTGTACACATTGACTGTATGGATATCTTCTGACACCAACATCAGACCTATGGAACTGGAATCAGTAAGTATGGAACTTGGGAATCTGTATTTTTAACCAGCTCCCCAGGGATTTTTATGTATTGAGTATTGAGATCCATTGTACTGAGTGGTTAGCATGATAAATACATAAGACATTTGGATTTAGTCACTGTTTATGAGAATTTCTCTGCCACTCAGATTCTCAATATTTACTTCACTATTTTTCACATAATTAGTGTCAGTTCTGTCACAGTGATTGACATTAGCTATTAATTTATGCCATCGTTTGGATGTTTGAAAAATAAAACAAATTGTATATGTGTGATTACTATTCATTTTATCAATCATAAATTTGTTTTGGCATGTCATTAACCCCCTAGAATTTTGTTTACATGTTAATGCCTACCTACCATTTATAAAGGCATTAATTCTGATTTTAGAAGACATTGAGTGATAATGTTATAATGAAAATTAAGCAATTGTAGGTATTGCCAAAATAACGCTCTGGAAAAGGCAAACAATTCCTAGTAGTTGAGCTCTCAAATAATAAATAAAAGAATATTTGTATTACTTAATTTGTGTTTGAAAATACACATAAAGCCATTAAAATTCAATTGAAAAGCAAAGATATGAAACTTTACTTTCTATCAATAGCTTGGGAGAAAAACTAAATTCAATACAGATACCTGCTATAGAATCACAGCTAGGAAAAGGTGGTAGTATTGAAAACTATGCTTTGACAAGCACTCAGTATAAGATCTAAATGGAAAAAATCAAATACTAGTCAATATAGGCCATTTTTAATGATTTGCTTAAAAGAGTATAGTTTATGGGAGAATATTTTCGTGAACGTTGGGTAAGAAAATATTCTTAAATAGAACACAAAATGCATGAATTGGAAAGAGATCTTGTGTTCATCAATTCACAGCTTTAAGAAGGTGGTGAAATTGTAAGCCATGTAACAGAAAATGTATTGCAGGATATATAACCAACAAAGAGCTTAGAAAACTTAGATGCAAATATATATAAAGCAAAAAGTAGAAACAAACCATCCCTCAGAAGTAGGCAAAAGAATGCAAGTCACTTCATGAAAAACAGGTAGATACCAATAGCCAATAAATACTTGAAGAGTTCTTCAACCATTTGGTTACCAGAGAAATGCAAACTAAAACTACAATGAAATATCACCACACAACTGGATGACTAAAATCTGAACATAAAAGAATAGACACTGGAAAAATCGAAACAGACAATGGTGACTATTGGCAAGAATGTGAAGCAATGGGAAATCTCATACACTAGAGGTGATACTATAAAGTGATACAAAATTCAGCAAGTTGTGATAATGTAAATTGGTTTGACCTTTTTGGAAAATTGCCGCTATCTTCTAAATCTTAAAATATTATGCTTTGTTACTAAAACGTTTCACTCCCAGATATACATATACCACAAAAACGTGCACATACATGCCACACAACACATACACAAGAATGTTCTTGGCAGCTCTATTTGCAATAGCATTGGAAACCCTCCAGATTTCCATCAGCTATAAAATAAATGGTCATATAGTCGTAGAATGAGTACACTTCAGCTATGAAAAAAAAAGCAGATGAGTCTCACAAATATGACATTGAGCAAAAGAGGCAAACACAAATAGTATAATATTGTATGATTCCACTTATATGAAGTAGGAAAACAGACAAAATTTTTATTTTGCAAGAAGTGAGAATAATGGTTTCCTTGGGAAAAGAGGGCGAGTCTGGCAGTTGGACAGCACAGGAGAGAGTCTTCTGAGATGCTCGTTTGATTTGTTTAACTGAGTAGTGGGTTCATAATTTTAGTGACTTTGCGATAATTCATTCAGTTATAGACATTACTTGTGCACTTTTCTTATGAAGGCTACACTTCAATAAAAAGTTAAATAATTTAGCTTACGATATGATTATTACTGTGCAACTCAACCAATATAAGCCAGATGCAAAGAATTTAATAAAAAAATTGGGCTGAACAAAGTTTAAGTTTGTGGTACATTTAATGAAAATGATTTTCTCATTGCCTGAGATGGTCCCACCTACGCTAGTTAAAACAACATAAAATAAAGTTAAGTAAGAAAGATAATAGCATAGAAGAACCTCTAAATCTGTCATTTAACAGAGATTGTGAAGTTCTCCTTAGTGATAATGTGCATGTATATTCTGCTTTAGTAAAATATGGTCCAATTTACAAAATATTTATTGAATTCTTAAATGTGCATGAGTTACTGTGATAGGGAGAAAATAAGGTACAGATATAGCACATCTCTCAAGGAAGTAGCCAGTGAAAGAGATATTGAAGGACCATTCATTCTTTCACATTTTGATATATAATTTCAATACAAGGCATAAACTAATCATTGTTACAGGTTCCAATATCTGTGCCCTTTATATGTTTAAAGAAAAGGGAAATCTCTTTAATCTAAAGGTAAAGTTCATGCTACTAGTTTAAAAAAATTGTATCAGTGTGAAAGCAATTGAAAAGGATTTTAAGGGATTGGGAAATGGCTATACTTGTTACAGGAAATAATTAATGGTAAGAGTAAGACAAGGGCACTCCAGGAAAAGAAGATTACTTGAGCTGAAAAGGAGCTATCGAAAACTGTGGGATATTTCCAAATAACAGCTGGTCATACTGTTTGCCAGCTTTGTAAAATAAAAATCTGAAAGAAATGTAAGACAAGATTTGGCTGTTAGTGGGGCTACTCTATAAAGGGCTTTATTAAAACGTAGGTTGAAGATTACCTATTTAATTTGTTAGGAAATAGAGGGATCCCTTTGAAGAGTTTTGATTTAAGATCATCTGTTTTGGAATATTAAACTACTACTGACATTTTATGTCTTAGAAAGGAAGTCTTATAGTAAATTGATCTTCTAGGAGGATATAATAATCTAGTGAGAGTCAACAAGCAAATCACCTTGAATAGTAAAAGCAGGAAAATAGAAAAAGAATATCCAAGGGCCATTGTAGAATCTATTGGTCCCTTAGTGGGTTTTTTTTGAGATGTAATTGACGTATGACATTATATTAGTTTCAAGGGTACAATGTAATGATTCAATATTTGTATATATTTTAAAATGATCACCACAGTAAGTCTAGTTAACATCCGTCACCATATATAGTTACAAAATTTTTTTCTTGTGATGAGAACTTTTAAGATCTACTCTCTTAGCAACTTTCAAATATACAATACAGTATTACTAACTATGGTCACTGTGCTGTATATTACTTCCCCATAACTTATTTATTTTATAACAGGAGATTTGTACCTTTTGACCCCCTTCATTCATTTTGCCCACTTCCCCCCACCACCTCCGGCAACCACCAATCTGTTCTCTTTATCTATGAGCTTGGTTTGTTGGTTTGTTTTGTAGATTCTGCATATGAGTGAGATCACATGACATTTGTCTTTTTCTATCTGACTTATTTCACTTAGTATAATGTCCTCAAGGTCCAAGTTTCATCTATATTGTTGCAAATGGCAAGATTTCATTCTTGTTTTTATGGCTGAATAAATTCCATTATGTGCATATATCACATTTTCTTTATCCATTCATCCATTGATGGATACTTAGGTTGTTTGCATATGTTGGCTATTGTAAATAAAGCTGCTATAAACATGGCGGTGCATATATCTTTTTTTTTTGGTTTTCTTTGGATAAATACCCAGAGGTTCTAGTGTTGTATTGAAAATCAGAGAAGAGAAACTGGCGTCTAAAATGACTTCAGAGTTTGAGATGTATGTGACTAGGTATCGAGTAGTGAAAAGGGTAGACCTAGCCAAGTCACCAAAATGGATTTTTTTCTTCATGTGCATAGAAACTTGCCAATGAATGGAGAGAGATTGGAGGATAGGTGGAATTGAAGGCAGAGAAAGGTCTAAGGAAGAGGTTTTCTTCTTAAATTAATGCTTTCTTTTTCTCTCATCACAATTTTTAAAATATTCTTTATATTTTAAATGTTTTATTTTATTTAGTTGAGAAACAAGTTAATGTTCAGAATTGTTTTCAAATACTTTTCCAAAAATCACCATTTATTTTTACTTGCATCATAATTGATATACATTTTATGAAGATAGGGTTTCCTAAGTCTAAGAGAGTCTAAATAGACTTTTAGACTATTGAATTAACTATTTAATTATTTTTTAAAAATGTACTTTAAATATCAATGTGACCAAATATGATTTGGTCTTCTTTATCTTCTTTTTTGTTTTTCCACCTAAAGTTCCTTTTAACATTTACCCATTCTCTCTTCTTGCCCTCTTACCTCATAGGAAGTTGTATGTCACCTAATTTTCAAAGTAAACCCTTCTTACTCATTTCTGTGTTGAGAGCTACTCATAATCCAGTTCTTCTAGGAACATGGTCTAATGTTAACCAGGTCTGTTTGTTGTACTTTTGATTTTTTCCCTTTATTTTAGATCCTTTCCTTTGGATGTCAAGCGTTTATTTTCCAAATTCTCAAAACTGCTATCCCTTGGTGTGCCACATTTCTGTACATTCAGTGGAAAGCTTTCCAAAGACCAGAATTTATATAATTTTACTTCCTTGCCATTTTCTTACTCTCCAAAATTTTGTAATATGACTAATTTTCCTCTCATTTAAATGAAATTGTATTCTCAAATCATTAAAGTAATTGTAGTCTTCAAATGGAAGACCTTTGTAATCATTCCTTCTTTGACTTTAGCGTTTATACCTGGTGGTTATCCTCTCCCTCTTGAAAACCAGTTGTATGCAGATCTGGATCTTCTCCATACTCTCTGATGATTCTTTTCTTTTATTTCAGATTCTATGTTGGGCCTTCTCTCTGGATAGTCTTCCACTGATGATTAGGTCACCTCCACTATCATTTTTTGTGACACTGTCACACATTTTTTCCTATTAAATTCTAATATGAATGCAAATCTGCATTTGTATTAACAGCTTTATGTGAATAACCCCCTCACTTTTCAGACTCAATAAGTGTAAACAAATTTTTTTCTCTTCAATATCTGATATTCCTTTAGCTTAT